TTTTTTTTTTAAATCAGAATGTGTATTAGTTTTTCTTGTTTTAATTTTAAGATATTTTGGTTATTAATGGTACAGAGCTTGATACAATACAGTTGATAGTGATTCAAAAGATCACTATTGCTAATTTCATTTAATTGTAACTGATATTTATATTATCTTGTTGCTGAATGAACCGTTATTATTTATGATTGATATATAATCACGTTCATTATCACTAAGAATAGTTTGTTATTATGGAAGAGTGTGCATCGATGAGGTTAGAGTGACAGTAACAATTGGATTTAGAGTAATACACACAACGCACTTTATAGCTTATGTCACACAACCGCATTCAGATACCTATTTTATTCCGAAAACTTCATAATGAAAAATTGCTTAAGCGTTTAGTGAAATAAACATTCAAAATTACCTGAATAACAAAGAGTCTCACAAGCTGGCTTCATAACATTATTTTATCAGCATATAGAACTACACAGGAATTCAAAAGCATCATTTATATAGAATTTTGCATAACTAGCTATATAGGAAATACGTAGAAGATTGATTTTCTCTAAGAGATCCCTTTAGGATTCTTACGAATTCTGCATCAATACTTCACATTGTAGGATGTCTTTTTCCTGCATGTTATCTGATGAACAAGATAAGAAAAAATATCTTCAAATTATGTAAAACAATGGTAGAACAAAGTTTCTTTCAAAAAACACAGAAAAATTGTTTTCAATTTCTTTTTCAACTGTTCTATTTATGTATGTTCAAACGATTATAAACAACACTAAACGAAATAAACACTTAGAAAAAACTCTACTCGTATATGTTTCAAGTCTCAAAAATCTTTCCTCATCACTATGATAATATTTGACACACGTTAAAATATATAGTCAAAATATTTACCAGTATCTACAACTGTTAGTGTAATCTACGTGAGAGTAAATGTAAAATATGATGGGCTGCTGTCATTGTACAAAAGGGAATCCATGAAGAAATGTTTCAGTTTGGATATGAGTGTCTCTACAGGTGTATGGTGAGGATGTACATGTAGCATTTATCTTCAGACTATCCGAAATCGACACTCTTTTGCAATGAGTTAAAAGATTTGATAAATAAATCGGGAACTAAGTCCTGTCACACTTAATTTTCAGATTACGCCATAAGGCGTCAAACTTATTCACTTTCATTATAATAAAGACTTCTTTCAAAAATATTAAACGTATATTTCCAAAATTCATACTCATTCATTTTTCTTCATTATTCTTTTGCGTTACAGTGAATATCCAGAAGTTATAATTTTCTTTTATTCATTATTAATTGGCATCATGTATAGGAAAAGCAACAGTAATCAATGTCCTCTCGCTATGAATTCTATTTAAGAAGCTGCCAATGCAAAAGTCGAGCAAAAATTAGATTTTGTTGAGTTATACATGGGTGGATAGAGTTCATGACACTAATTATGAATGCATCGTTTTTAATTTGTTTTAGAGTATTTTTTAGGCAAGAGATTTAAAAAAGAAATACAATGTCTCAGAAAAAATGAAAAATAGTCATTTCTATTGAAAATCAAAGGTGGCTCTAAGTTACACTGACTATTCTCTGCTGAAACTGTTTTATTCGAATTTAATAAAAAAAAAACTATAGTATCTACATGGTTTTGACGGAAATTGAGCGCTGGGATCCGATTTGACTGATTTCACAAGATTCATCTTGATAAAACTATTGACTATTCGATGTGATTGTTTATGCTGATTCTGAATATTATATTCATATAATTCAAAAGTAAATTTTTTGCAGTGAAAGTTTCAAAATACGATCGTAGTGTTTGCTATTGCTGTACAAAATTCACTCACTTTATTCAATATTCGTTCGAAATCTGCGAGAAGTGTTCAGTCACTGCAGAGAACCCATGGTGAATTAGATCAGAACTAACGGCCTATAAACACTATTGCTCATCCTGCGCAACAAACACGTCAGCATAATGTTCAACTTATTCGATTGGCATTTCTTCAAGTGACTATTTTTGTTATATTGAATTCATTATGGTCCACGTTTCCATTGTATACATTTATTCTTCTCAATGCACCAGTGATAACTTTTGACCAACTATTATTATTAACAATTTTGGAATCACTCAGATTGAATCTTCTATCGCTATATGCAGCAGTAGAATTTCTTTTTTCATTCAGACACTCATTATTTCATTCTATTGTGTTTAGATAACATTGATTGTGTTTGCTTTAGTTTAGGAATCATTTCGAAAAGAACTCATTTTAGCTTTGAAGAACATTTGGAAAAACGATTATGCCACATTAGAAAATGTTGATGCACAGAGATGTATGATGAATATTTTTTTATTTTAAAAAAATATTTCAAATAAAATGTTGTTAGTAGATCTCTATGTTATGTAACACTTGCTACATTCTTTTCTTGATTCTATTAATAATGCTATGATCAAAATCGGATAGCGTCGATTATTAAATTTCACTGCAAGTCAGTTGAAAACATTCGGAAATAGTTCAATGATTGGTCAAAATCTGATAAGTGGTCAGAGGATTCTTAGAAGTTTTTCATGAACAAAGAAATCATACAAATTAAAGTCGTTCAAAATATGAAGACGAACGCATAAATTTGATTTAGTGAAAATTGATGATTCATTCAAAAACAAAAGTGTTTCTATCATGAAGATAATTAGAAGTGAATTGTGCTTTAATCTTAGCTAATTAGTAATACTAACAACAATTTTTGAATATGATTTTCTCATAGTTGTACACAGAACAGTTTCTCATTTGATAGCCATGTACTCAACTAAGTATTTCAGTATAGACTCATATTTGTCCAACGGAAAATCCACAATTATTAACTGACAAATGAATTTCTCAAATAGTTGCAAATCACAAGATATTTTAAGTATATTCGCGATATTGAAAAGTCGATCTACTAATAAAATCACAATGAAGATTAATCAAAGGTTGAAATCCATAGAAACAAAGGTATATACTGTGACAGAATTAATGCCTTAATGTTTTACTTAACCCCGATATCAGCCCGATCAGTGTTTGCTGGGTGTCAGTATTCGAATGAGTTTCGATATTTCAATGAACCTTAGTGGGCATTTAGTAAATATCTCAGTGAACAAACTCTTGGTGAAATCGGTATCAATATTTACAATGCAACTATACGTGCCAAAATCTATACCATATTTCAAAGTGTTTCTTTAAGAAAAAGAGCTGAAAGACTACATTCGATTATAATTAGTATTTGGCTATATTACAAGGTTTATGCTATCAAAATCTGTGAATAATTTTGCGATGAAGTCTTACATATTCATCCTCATCTATTTCTTATCAATTTTTCAATCGCTCTGTTCACATTTGACTATTTGCGCTCT